GTGCAACTAATAGAACAATACCCTTGATCGCTCATGCACATAATACTGTGCTGAAGATCCTCTGACAGCCATTACAGCCGCGCATTGACAGGAAGCTGCCAGAGGCTCGGGTTGGACTCAGAAGAGGATGTGGATGGAACAAGGGGACATCACTGCTGGCTTCAGACAGCTCTTGGCTCAAAGCAAAGCTTGCTAGAAAGATGGTTTGTGTTTTTATTGACCATGCCAAAGCATTCGACTCTGTGGGTCATAACAAACTATGGAGAGCCTTCAGAAGAACACTTAATTGTGCACATTTGGAACTTGTACATGGATCAAGAGGCAGTTGTGCAAACAGAACAAGGGAAAATGTCATGGGTTAAAATTTGGGAAAGTGTGTGTCAGGGCTATATCCTCTCACCATACTTGTTCACTCTGGATGCTGAGCAAATCATCAGAGAAGCTGGACTATAAGAAGAAGAATGTGGCCTCAGGATTGGAGGAAGCTTATTAACAACCTGCAATATGCAAATGACACACCTTAGTTGCTGATGAAGAACAAGTAGTACAGCCTTCAATATGGACTACAACTTAATGCAAAGAAAACCAAAGTCTCCACAACTAGACCAGTAGATAACATCATGAAAACAAAACACTGACGTTATCGAGGATCTGTCTTGCTAGACTCCATAATCAATGCTCATGGAAGTAGCAGTCCACAGATGAAATGACACCTTACATTGGGTAAATCGCTGTACAAACTCACTGCCATCAAGTCAATACTGACTCGTAGCGGCCCTATTGGTCAGGGTGGAACTGCCCCTGTGCGTTCCCAGACTAGCTTTTACGGGAGTAGAAAGCTCTATCTTCCTCCCAGGGAGCCACTGGTAGTTTCAAACTGTCAGCCTTGCAGATCACAATGAGTGATTTGCCACCGGTATGTTGCACAAGTGTTAATAAGAAAAGCCAGGGTGTTGCTTTGAGGACTAAGGTGGCCTGACGCAAGCCAGGGTGTTTTTCATGGCCTCTTAGGCATGTGAAAGTTGGACATTGAATAAAGACGACTGAAGTAGAATCAACACATTTGAATTACAGTCTATGCAAAAAAAAAAAATACTTAGAGTACCATGAACTGCCAAAAAATAAATCTGTTTGGGTAGAAGTACAGCCAGACTGCTCCTTGGAAGCACGTGCTTTGGACATGTTCTCCGGAGAGACCAATTTCCGGGAAGGACATCATGCTTCATCAGTGGGAGAGCAGGGAGACAGAGGAGGAGCCTTGACCAGATGATCGACACAGTGGCTGCACTGATTGTGAAGGCCGCAGAAGGCCGGTCGTTGTTTCTTTCTCTGTGGATCATGGGGTCGCTATGGCTCGGACCTGACTCGAGGCACCTAACAGCAGCTCGTTGTTGTTTTCAACTGCCAGGGTACTGAGTTGTTGTTTTAAGGGGCAGTAGACCAAATAAGTTTGGGAACTTTGGAGCTGGCAGGTAGACAGGTTTTTAACTTTGTTGTTGTTTTTTACGTGAAGAGAAAATTAGGTTGTTTCATTTTTTTAAATTATTTTATTGGGGACTCATACAGCTCTTATCACAATACATACACGCATCCACTGTGTCAAACACAATTGTACATTTGTTGCCATCACCATTTTCAGAACATTTTCTTTCTACTTGAGCCCTGGGCCTAAGCTCATTTTTTCCCCTCCTTCTTCCACCCTCCCTCCCGAACCCTTGATAATTTGTAAAGTATTATGTCTTAAATTTGTAAAGTAATGATAATTTGTAAAGTAATATGTAAAGTTTCCATGTCTTACATTGACTGGGAACACCCTACAAAAGGGACATGGGGGAAGGGGAAATAAGGCAAACTATGAGAAGGCTTTTCTAAGTTGTTGAATGCTAAAACAAGGGTGTGATTTGTAAATCCATATGTAATTCAGAATTGAAAAGTTTAAAAAAACCAAAACCTCCCAGCGGAGAAAAGTCCTGAACCACCTAACTTCACTGGAAATTCTAACAAACATTATAGAAGAAATGGCTCCAATTCCATCTGACTTTTCCAAACTAGTAGAGAAGGGAACCCTAACTAATTATAAGGCTGGTGTCACCCTAATACCAAGCCCAGACAAACAGACCCAATAGAAAACCCTGTAGATCAACATAGATGTGAAAACATCACAGAGATACTGGCAAACCAGATCCAAAAGCTGAGGGTTATAGATCATGGCCAAGTAGGGGTTCTCTCAGGCTTGCGTGGGCGGTTCAACATTAGAAAATCAATGTATTGCACCACATAAATAAACCCAACCCAACCAAACCCACAGCCATCAAGTCAATTCTGACTCCCAGCAACCCAACATAGGGTTTCCAAGGCTTTGTGAGTCTGTACAGGAACAGACAACAGCTTCATCTTTTTCCCAAGAAATGGCTGGTGTGTTTGAACCACCAACCTTATGGTTAGCTGTCCTTAATGCTTACCCAACAGGGTCACTATAAATACAACAAAGGAAAAGAACCACATGACTATCTTAGTCAACCCAGAGAAAGCATCTGACCAAATCCACCACCCTTTGATAGAAAAACACTCGTCAAGATATACAGCACTTACGCAAAGGCCAAGCTAGCAACATACTCACCGGGAGAAAGGCTGAAGATCAGAAAGAAGAGAGACACGGATGCCGTGCTCACCACTGTTACTCAGCATTGAGCTGCCAAGTGCTCCTGCTGCTGTGGGGAGACGTTTGGCATTAATTCAAAAAGCTGCACATAGAGCTAGCATACGACTAAGCAATCCCCAACTCAAAGAATTGAATCCAGTAATAGCCAGGAGGGGGCAGGAGCATGATCAACAGATGAATGGGGGAGGACCTGTGGCAGAGCCATAGACTGGGGTAGTACTCCGGGGTAAATGAAGGCCCGAGGCACGCTGCGCTGCGACATGGAGGGAGCTGGCAAGCATAATACAAATTGAGAGAAGAGACTCACAAAAGGACAAATATTGTGTGATCCATCCCGCTTATATGAAATAGGCGAGTATAAAAACTATAGTTTTTAGTAATTTTATTGGGGGCTCTTAGACAGCTATTAGAACAATCCATGTATCAATTGTATCAAGGACATTTGTACAGATGTTGCCATCTTTCAAAACATTTTCTTTCTACTTGAGCCCTTGGTATCAGCTCCTCTTGTTTCCCTTTCCTCCCCCACCCTCGTGAATCCTTGATAATTTATAACTTTTTTTATTTTCATACCCTATAGTGGTTAAACATGCAAAGACTGGAGTTTCAGAGCCCCCAGAGCCTTCGTGGTAGAAAAGGCCTGGTGATCTGAGTGCTTGGGGATTCCCACTGCAGGCCCGCCTCCAAAAGCCAGGAGACCTGGCCCAGCTCCCTGTGCTCTCTCCAGGCCCTCTATGGACCCTGCCCCCCGAGCTGGGTTTCCAGAAGCCATTCACCCCATTGCCTTGCGGCCCTGGGGGCAGCCCTTTCCCCAAGATATGGAGACGTCAAAAAGGTTGAAGAAAAATCTCATGATCTTTTAAGCAAAATTTTTCAGAAACTCCTTCTTGTACCCGCCTAATCTAACAGCCTGCCCCTCAGCCTCTTACTAGCTGCTACGACAATCAGACAATGAGGCCAAGTGCTCCTGAGACTGTCCGGCTCGCCCTTCCAGAGCCAGAAGATTCCCACAGAGAGATGGCCGCTCCTGCCAGCAGGGGGCGAGGTGCATGTGTAGCACAACAGCTCCCCCAGCCACCACCCCGCACACATCCTAGGCCCCACCTAAAGCCCAGACTCACCCCATGTGTACCCCGCCCCACCATCTGACCTCAGTCCTCAGCACTAGCCCCAGAAGGGGTCTCCGTGATGCTGTTGGACCGGCTAGACACCCACGGTCATGGCTGCCCTGGGGCCTCACCTTACCCTCTTCTCCAAGGACCCTTGTATGAGCCATATTTTATCAAAGAAAAAGCTAGATGCTCCCTGAGACCATTCAGTATCTGACCTTGTACTGCCAGGTTTAATTATGGTTTCAGTGTTTTGCAAGTTTCTCTCGAAGAGCCTGGCTACCCTATTTCCCTGAAAATAAGACAGTGCCTTATATTAATTTTTGCTCCCAAAGATGCACTAGGTCTTATTTTCAGGGGATGTCTTATTTTTCCATGAAGAATGGGGTACACATTTATCGTTGAACAAAAAAAAGGAAATTTATTACCTGTATACGGTACGGTAGTAGTTGTCATCACAAACCAGCATAACCAGACAAACTGAATCCTACAGTAGCAAAATTTATTGTTACTACCATTATTTCCATGTACAAAAATCTATGGTACATTTACGCGCACTTCCTGTCTGCTCCGGCTGGGCTGCGGCCAGCAGTGAGTTGTGCGGTGGCGCCTACTGCTATGGTCCAGGTCCAGAGTTAACAGTAGCTTCAGGGGGCCTTATTTCGGGGAGGTCTTATTTGGGCGGCATGCCTTATATTTCAGTGAGAGGCAAAACTATAAGTAGGTCTTATTTTCGGGGAAACACAGTACAAACAGTCTCTTCAACATAGAACATTTTGCCTTCAGGACCTGAAGGCATTTCAGAAACTTTTCAAATAAAATAATCTGGCTTCAATGAGACGGAGCAGTAGATATCTCTTTGGGAAAGTGGGGCATGTTTCTTACTCCTGTGTTCTTGGTGTCTGGCCCCCATAGGAGGAGGGCCCGGAGCAAGAGCCCCGGAGAGGCCGCTAACCAGTGAGCTCACATACCAACAGATGCTTTCTGGAATCCTGCCTGTGGGACCTCAGAGCGGCAGGTTGTGCTTGGTTGGGATGTGCTCAGTTGCCCCCATTCGGAGAACAACTCAAACTCTGGTAGCAGGCCCGCGTTGCATTGGCTATTGCTGTGACTGACTTCTCACCACAAGCCACCGTGGGCTGTCGGGGCCGGTACTGGTGGAGCGGCTGCTCCCAGCTGTTCGTGCCAGATCCTAAAGTCACATAATCAGGGTGTTTTCTGCCTTGCAGACTGATGAAGAGAGGCAGAAAGGCTTACCTGTGGTGATGCCAATTTTTGACAGACAGACCTGCAGCATCCCCAAATCCCAGATCTCCTTCATTGACTACTTCATCACAGACATGTTTGACTCCTGGGACGGTAAGAAATCTTGTATGTTTTATTTCAAAATAGAATTTGTAACATGAGTCCGAATTTTTGTTCTCTTCATTCCCAATCCTGAGAAAGCTCATCACTGACAGTATCAAGTGGGGCAAGGGAGTCCCTCTATAACTGGTTCTCACCTTCCTAATGCCATGATCGTTTAATAAAGTTCCTCATGTTGTGGTGACCCCCCCACACCAAAAAATGATTTTTGTTGCTACTTCATAACTCTAATTTTGCTACTGTTAGGAATCAGTGACCCCTGTGAAAGGGTTATTCTACCCCCAAAGGTTGAAAACCACTGCTCTGTAAGATGAGGCCTTTCTGAGGTAGAATTTCTGAAACGGGGGCTGGATTAGTTAGGTAACAATAAGAATTGAAGTGTGGTATTTAAAATGCAGGCTCCCCTATCACCTTCTCCGTGGGGTTTGCAGGCGGATCGTGCTAGACTGTAAGACCCTTAGCACAGTTCACTTCTGTGAAGTGGTCAGAACTACCTCTAGGTGTAAAAACTCTCAACCCAGCCAAACCCACCACCGCTGAGTCAAGTCTGACTCACAGTGACTGGGGGGTTCTGCGGCTGTACCCCTATCTGTAGGGGAGCAGCCCGTTTCATCTTTCTTGACTGCTGACCTCAGGGGTCAGTCCAGTGCTTACCAGACAGTGTCCCGTGGGCTTCTCCAGGGTCTCCGTAGCACAGTGCAAAGGACGACTCCTACTGCTTTTCCCTGAAGCGCTCTTATTAGAAAGCTTCAACCTCTGTGTGACACTGCAAAGGGACGTTACATTGCCGTCTTTCCCCACAGCCTTTGTCGATCTGCCGGACCTAATGCAGCACCTTGACAACAACTTCAAGTACTGGAAAGGCCTGGATGAGATGCAGCTGCGCAGCCTCCGGCCCCCTCCCCAGTAGGATGGCACTGCCCAGTGGCCCGAAGCTTCGTCCCTTGGGGCATTTTGGAAAACCTGAGGGCAGCCAGAGTTCCTTGGTCCTTTCAGTATTACCCAGAACCATCCCCAGGTCTGCAGAGCCTGTGAGAAAGCACATGGGGATTCCAGTACCTTCTGTAGTCACAGGCCGATGCCATGGTCACGATGGAGACTCTGCCACTGTAGTCTGGGCCTTGTGCAGGGGCATCTTCAGCAAGTCAGAAGAGAAACATGTCATCCGTCAGCACTGTGTCAAAACCCAGGAGCGAAGTGCCCCTGCAGAGGGTCTTGATGAATTTCCCGCCCGTGCCAGAGAATCTCGTTTTGCAAACACCTTCTCTCAGTTGTGTTTAGCACATAAGATCAGCTAATGGCAACTGGATCTTTAGCAACTTTTCTCATATCATAGAAGGTGCAATCACTCACTTTGGAACACTACTGAAAGTGACTTCTCAAAAAAACTGAGTAGCAAATGAAAAAATACACACATTTTGAAGTTGATTATTAATATCAATTATTAAAATATTCTATTTATTTCATGTAGGCATTCAATGTTTTCTATGGATTTTAAAATACTTTAAAACCAAAGGCCAACTTTAACTGTTGTGACAAATTTACATGATTCATGTTCATTAAGTATGCATTACTTGGTGTATTATTTTCATAATGCAAATTTTAAATAGTATAAAATGATGCATTTTTATTGCACTATAGAACTGTCTGTGTTTGTTAAACTCTTTGCTGGTCGGGGCTAATTTGTTGGTGGGCTTTATTCTTGAGAGTGAAAGAATAAAGCTTCTCCCGTACAGACACCTACACTCTGAACTCAGCACTGGACATCTGCTAAGCATTGTAGGTGGCTCCAGGTAAAATTACATTCTTCTTGGTCTGCAAAGAAAAGTTAAGACCTAACACTTTTGTTTCTAAAATTTTATAATTGAGTTTCCAATTGTCTGCCTTATTTTATACAATGTTTCTATGAAATATTCCTATAAAAACAAAGAAAATGAGCTATTTAATGAATTGACATTTTTTAACCCACCTGTTTTCATCTTCAGTGGGAATCTTTCATTCTTGAAATTTATAAAGGTTCCATAGCTTCACATCCTAAATAAGTGTCATGCCATTAAAAATGACACCTGATGACATCTTTAAGTGCTTCTCATTTCATTTTAAACTTGTATTTGTGATTTTCCAGATGAAAATGAAATTAAACGACTTGTTTTTAGACATCTGTGTGTCCCTTCCCTCCAGCGTTGTATCATGTTGTAGTAGGTGGGGTCACTAGAGAAGGGACCAGGGATGTGGATAGAGGGAGGGAGAGAGAGAGAGAGACTGATATCAAGGAATAAATAGCTCACACACTTGTAGAGATGCGATAAATCCAGTGTGATACAAGTTGTGGGTCAGATGTCACCTGGAGGCTTCTCTGGACTCCGGTAGCTGCAGGCCTGAGGAGCAGGAAGACCACAGAGTGGTGGATGAAGCCAAGGTCAGCCACATGAACCCAAGGTCAGCAGTCTGCTGATGGCTCCAGGGAGGCCAGGTAGCAGAAGGTCGACAAAACGGAAACAGAATCCAAATCCAGTAAGAGAAATGAGCTGGCCTTCACACCTGGTCACACCCTAAATGAAACCTTCAATCCTGTCAAGGCTGACCCGACCAAGGAGCTCTCTTCTTCCCACACTGCTTGGCTGCTGCACGGACGGTCCCATCATGGAGTGCTGACATTATGAAAGAGCATATCACGGGGGAATCCTGGCCCACGCCAACTTGATATAAATCATAACTATCACGAAATACTAAATTTTCTCCTAAATGGAGATGCCTATTTTCAGGAAAGAGAAATAAATGATTTTTCCAAAGTTGTATCGGGTCAGTCACCACAGTGGAAAGTTCCCAGGACTTATTTTGTCCTGTGCTCTCACTGTCAGGAGCACTGAGGTGGGGCAGAAGACACACGGATAGGTGCACCTGGTACCCATTCAAAGATGGGGTATCCTGGAGGCCTGTCAAGGCAAATCCCTTGGGAGTTTCTTTGCTTAAGGAAACAAGGCCATTTTCCTGTGGGAAGACATTTCTGCAAATTGATCATCTTAGACTTGAGCTGGGAAGAAAGCTTTCCTCTATGTCCCCGGAAAGCAGAAAAATGAAACACAGAAGGAACACAACCACCACAAGGTAGAGAAAGCAGTGTATCACCAAGAAACGGTAGTAGCCGAATCAGCTGAAAGAGACTTTAGGATGGATGAGTGTGCTTAACGTGTTTGAGGAGAGAAATCATAAAGTAAACCCAGGTAGTAAAAAAGTTTGAAAAAGTGAAATATGCCAAAAGATGGAAAACGCAGTTAATGAGACAACCAACCTCAAGTGTACAGGCTTAACAAAAAGATCTGGCATAATCAAAGAGAAATTTAGCAAATTGGAATACAACCCAGAATGAGAAGGTGCAAAATAAGGAAAAGTTAAAATACGGCAGACAATTAAATGCTTCAAAATGGGGTCTGTAGACGGTCAGAGGGAGAATAAATGAAAAATGTTACCCAAGGAAAGTCTGAGTTTCTAGAAATTAGGACAGACACAGCTCAAAGATTTAAAGGGCACACGAATCCCAAGAAGGATAAATAAATTCGCATAACGGTGCAACTGCAAAAGAGCAAGCACAAAGAAAAAAACAAAAGGCTCCAAAGAGATCACCTGAAAAGAGCTAGAGTTCGACACCCCCGGGCTTCTTATCTACAACAGTAATCAGAAAACAGAAATAGCTGTCTCAAGATACTGATGGGGATTAATGGCTAACGCAGAATTACATTCTGAACTACCATTCGAGTAAAGGTGAAATACAAACTGTTTAGTCATGCAGACAGTAAGTTACAAGCAGACCCTGTGGAAAGAACTGCTGAAGACCATGGAGAAGATGTTGACCACATCCATCACGCAGACTTGGACTGCAGAAGGACACGGTGAACAGACATCGATAAGCATCTGGGCAAGACCAGGACCATGGAAGGTGAGGGGATACCGATAGTGCTTGATCGATAGGGTTCATTTACAAAACACACAAAAAATAACACTGGCATAGGGAAAACTTTCTTAAAATTACATCAAAAGGAATTTTTTCTTGAGCATTTTCATGTTAATGGGGGTGGGATATTTAGAAAATAGCAATAATGATGGCACAGCATGAAAAATGCGCCCATGCCAACGGATGGTCAATGTGGGGCTGTATTGGCGAAGGTTTAGGTGTGTTTCTTTACATGGGGAAAAAAAGAACGATGCAGAAAAACTTGACAATTCATTGTTCTTTTCATTAATCATAAAAATTCTCAGCAAAACAAAGTAGAGGGGAACGTCAACCTGACACACCTGATAGCTAGCATGCCTGATCTTGACAGACTAAATACCTTCCTCTAGCACTGGGACCTACGTAGCAGAGGTAGCTACTTCCACCATTCCTGTTCCAATAGTATCCCTGGAAGTCCAAGCCAGAGTAACTACAGAAGAGAAAAGAAAAGCATAATTTGGAGAGGAAAACTGACTACGTGAAAATCTCGAAGCATCTCTTCGAGTCAAGATTGCAAGATACAAGGCTCAAACAAATCAGTTTTATTTCCAAATAATAGAAACAAACCAGTGCACATGTAAATACAATGAGTATTAAAATGGCACCAAAAGCCATGAATTCAAGTGAAAATCTATATCAGATTTGTATGCTAAGCATTTCGTTACATTATACTGATAAAAAGGGGGAAAAGATTTGCCCCCCCACACACACACATATTTTTTTAAAAAACTTATGTGATTTGGTTGAATATTTACAGAGCAAACTGGTTTTCCATTTAATTATTCAAGTAGTACTTTTTTTGTTTTGACCCTGTTATCCCCACAGTATAACCGCACTCCACTCTTCCTCCTGCCTGCCTGTGTGTACTCTTTGCATTCCTCCTTTCCTGTCTTTAGACAAGTGCTGACCTCTGGTCTCAGAGTTGATCGTTCTAAGGAATGCGCACCTCCGTGGTGTTTTCAACTTCTAGGCCTGTTTGGCTGAAAATTGAGCCATGTGGGTAAGTTGAGAGTTCCAGGCGTGAAGAGTCACTAAGGGCCATGGTGTTTATCAGACCAGTAAGCCTGGGCGCTTAGGGTTTTGAGTTTTGTTTTACATTTCTCTCCCACTTTACCTAGGACCTCCTTTTGTGGTTCCTTTTAGATTGGTCCACAGTTAGGGTAGCTAGTGATGTATAAACTGAAGAATCCTACCAAAGTCTTAAGTCAGATATTAACCAAACATGCAATCAAGATGCATTGATAATTTTTGACAATTGGAATGCAAAAATTGGAAACAGGAGGAGGAACGGTAGTTGGAAAATATGGACTTGGTGATGGAGATGAGGCTGGAAATCACATGACAGAATGTTGCAAGACCAACAACTTGTTCATAGCAAATACTTTTTTCACCCACACAAAAGGCAACTGTACACATGGCCTTCTCCCAGATAGAATACACAGAAATCGAATTGACAACATCTGCGAGGAAGATCATGGGGAAGTTCAACAGCAGCTAAAACCAGGCCAGAGGTTGACTGTGGAAGAGACATCAGTTGCTCATATGTAAGTTCAAGATAAAGCTGAAGAAAATAAAATTTACAAGAGCCAAAATACGGCCTTGAGTATATCCTGCTGGCATTTGAAGAACATCTCAAGAACAGATTTGTTGCACTGAACACTAATGACCTGTGGGAGGGCATCAAGAACATCATAAAGAAAGGAAAGGGTCTGTTAAAAAAGGCAGGAAAGAAAAAAAGACCAAAGTCAATGTCAGAAGAGACTCCAAAACTTGCTCTTAATCGTAGAGTAGCTAAAGCAAGTGGAAGAAAAGATGAAGTTGAAGAGCTGAATAGAAACTTCCAAAGGACAAGTCGAGAAGACAAAGACAAATATAATGAAATGTGCAGAGACCTAGAATTATAAATTCAAAAGGGAAGAAGATGTTCTGCACATTCTAAACTGAAAGAACTCAAAAAATTCAAGCCTTGAGTTGCGGTATTTCAAGATTTGACAGGCAAAATATTGAGTGATGCAGAAAGCACCAAAAGAAGATGGGAAAAATACATTCCACCATAATAGGAGGTAGCACATAAGCAAGAACCAATGATACTAAAGAAAGTAGGTCAAGCTTCCCTAAACTTAGCCAAAAACAAGGCTCCGGGAATTGATGGAATACCAATTGAAATATGTCAACAAGTTGATCAAACACTGGAAGCATTTTCTTGTCTATGCCAGGACATTTGGAAGACTGCTACTTGGCTGACTGACTGAAAGAGATCCGTATTTGTACCCATTCCAAAGAAAGATGACCCAACAGAATGCTCAGACTGTATCACTGAGAACACATGCAAATAAAATCTTGCTGAAGATCATCCAACAACGGCTGCAGCAGTACATCAACAGAGAGCTGCCAGATATTCAGGCTGGATTTGGAAGAGGACATGGAATAAGGGATATTATTGGTGATGTCAGTTGGATCTTGGCTGAAAGGAGAGCATACCAGATATTTATTTGTGTTCCACTGACTATATAAAGGTATTCCACTGTGTGGATCCTAACAAAGTATGGATGGCCTTGAGAAGAATATGAATTCCAGAACACTGCATTGTGTTCATGAGAGTCTGTTGTGAGAACAGAACAAAGGAATATTGCCTGGTTTTAAATCAGAAAATCTGTGTGCCAGGGTTGTAACCTCTTTACCATACCTATTCAATCTGTATGCTGAACAAATAATCAGAGACAATGAGCTATATGAGAAATGCAGCATCAGTATTGGAAGAAGGGTTATTAACCTGTGATGTGCGATGGCGCAACCTTTCTTACTGAAAGTGAGGAGAATTTGAAGCATTGCTGATGAAGATCAAGGATTGCAACATTTAATATAGATTCCAATATAAAGAAGAACAGACTCTCCACAACTGGACCAATAGGTAACGTGGTAAACCGAAAAGAAAAGATTGACGCTGTCAGAGATTTCCTCCTGCTTGGTTCCACTCATGGAATGCTCACGGAAGCAGCAGTCAAGAGATCAAGGAGTGCACTGGGTAAATCTGCTGCACAAGACCAATTTCAAGGGTTGGGAAACAGGTGACTTTGAGAAGGAAGGTGTGCTGACGGGAGCCAGGGTCTTTTCAAGCACTTCACACATGTGGAAGGTGAGCCGTGAATAAGGGAGACTGAAAAAG